GAGGCCAAGAACTTATGCATCAACCTAATAGTTCTATTTGTCGCTGTGGTGGATGTCAAAGCATATACATTCAAGGAAACACTGCACTGTCCAAAACTAGGCAGCATTTCCTCAAGCTTACATTGTTAAAAACATGAAAAAAACTGCTTAACCCTTGCACATTCAAGCTATTCATCGAATTGTGATAAAAATGTAAAAGCTGGCTATTCTAGACGAATGTCACCACAAAAGAACTGTGTCAGACATTTCCTTCCGAACTGCTCACATCGTTCTTATAACATACTGCGGACGAGAAGCCACTACCGTATTGTGTTGAAGGGATAGTGCGCTCCAGTCCGAAAAGCCCGCTCCAATGTCGCGGAAAACTCGTCCCCGAATTTTTCCCGTTGTAGATTTAGCGGCGATTATGATCGAGAGGATGTGGACAGCGGGGGTCGAGGACCACCAAGCGGTTGAGTCCGTAACGTGTTATAATGATTGCGGTAAGTAAGGCGAATCCACTAATACGTTATATGAAGAAGCCTACGGTCCTGTTAGGTGAGCTTAGCGGGTAAGTTTATGCCTGCATCATTCTTCCTCACCAAAACTGATCGAGGTGCGGTCTAATTCTGCGCTTGCGACTGTCTGAAAACCAACTTCACTATGACCGCTTCGCGGTCATACATCACTTTCATAGTCCTCTCAGAACAAAAAGGATCTGCAACAATTCACAGCAATGTTCATAGCGTACTGTCGAAAAAATCCGGAAAAAAGACCAAAACAATCCTACTCAGACGTTAAGCTTGACAATTCATTGATTTTAATTAACCACAACAGCTTATGTGAGACGTCATATGATCTGTCCAATAGTTCGGGCATTCCAGTCTCTAGAGTTGCGAAGTATAACAGGGGATAAAATTAGGCGTGTAGTACGGTGGTCACATTCGGTATGCGGTTGCATTCAGCTACCGGTGGTATTTTTACATGGCATCCGTGCATTGATCAAATACATTTTGCAGCATTTTGCAGTGATTTTGAAAATGTGCGATGATGTTCGTTCCTAGTGTTCATAAAAACAGCTGACAAATAATTATCATGACATTGGTTTTACCTTGGACTAAATGTTGCTCACGCAATTGTTACTGTTTCTCTCCATTTCTTTGCTCGTACTGGGAAGCTTGCTACTTCGTGAATTTTAGGTTTTGGTTGATGTCAAGTCGGAACCTTAAATTTTTACGTGTTGGGTTGCCATTTTTCTCAATTGTTCTTGGTGGCGCTTACGGTCTACATTACTTTCAACAAGTCCGGTACGATTTTCGCAAACTGAGACAGCAGGACTCCAACCTTGAGCATCTGGTTCGTTTCTCGTGATAACTTCCTGCTCGTTTTCAATATGTCCGTGTTCACCGTTAACATTCTTATTTTCCAATCTAACACGTGACTTTTCTTTGGGTATCGTAACTTAGCTTGCCTGTGATTTTTTTTCTGTGATTTTTGAACACGGTGGTTTTATAGAGATCTGAATTGGAAAAAAGCGGTCTTAATCTTCGTAAAGACGTAACAGTCGATAGCGTCTACAAGGTAAAAGCAGAGCGATTTGTCTCCATTTCTCACCTCTTTTCTAATAGACGGTTTATAGGAGGTAGCAGTTCTTGATACGGAGAACTGGGAAAATATCAGAGGGCCTCGTGAGGACGAAGACATCAAGGAGTATCTGAGGGTCAAGTATGTCATTTTTTCTTCGATGACTTCTCCTTAGGATTATAAAAGCCAAACAAAAGATTTTTATTTTCTCAAATCTATTTATAGAGCTCAGCAACAAGAAGCCAACAGAATAGCTCGTTTAAAGCGTAAGCAAGAACTTGATGGCTGAGCAGATTCCCGAGGATCAGCTTCCGAGGTGAGGTTTCGTCTTTTTCTCATTTTACACATTTTAATGCTCCATTTTTTCAGAGCTCCTTCCAGCGCGAATCTTGACATTAGTGATAATCCGCCAGAACCTGATAACGCTTCCATTCGTGCTGAAAGAGGTTTGCTTTCTTTTTTGGAAAGTTGGTGACTTCCGCAATTTTGAATTTCTAAGGATATGGGGACTAGTGGCACGAACCATTATACTTTGAAGCAGTCCCAAGTGGCCAGGTCTGCTTACGATCATGCCAAGGAAATAACCGTCAATTGTTTCATACGCGGGATTCCATGGTACCGGGGTTAGCTCCGTTTCTTTACAATGGTCGTTGACGGACATGAGTTCTGTTGAACAGCAGCAAATTCCTCAAAAAAAAAATAGAGCTCGTAGCATCTCAACTAACTTCTAATGACTAAATAGCTCTATTTGGCTGAAACACACTATTATACTCAGGAGCACAAAAGAGTAAAAAAAAATCACTATCTGCTGGCTGTAAATCGAACTCTAGACATCAGTTCAAAGTGTTCAGTCTCGCCTCTTCACGGCCCGTTTTCAATCACATGTGGATTGGCTTGAAATACTATCCAACCCATTCTTAACAAATAGTAAGGCGCTGATAACCCTGGGTGCATTATAAGAAATTTCGGGGCGAAACTGGTTTTCATTATGGAGATAAAGTCTTTTCGTCTTGGCTGCAAGGGATGGAATGAACTCCGCGACATCCTCCACCGCATCCGCAAAGGCCAGACTTTCAAGGGCCTGCTACTTCTATCTGGCATGTCCTTTCTTTATTTCCCATTTTGCAGAGAGGGTACTTCAACAGCGGATGAAATTAAAGAGTAAAATAGGATTTCGTACTATATACACTACTAAGCGATGGAACATGGAACGCTGAGAAAAAAGATTACGCAAGAAATTATAACATCGTTCGATATTGAATTATAAAAGGTATTCTCGCCCCGACTCGTTCCGAAGAGGTTTAGCATAATATGCCACCACAGTGGCGACTTGGTAAACCAAAAGGACCGGCGGGTCTTAACCAAATTATCGGAAATCCCTGTCATAAATTGAGCCGGTTTCCTTATTCAACAGCATTAAAGAAGAAAAATTGGCAGTTATTCTGCCTTCCTTTTTTCAGAAAGCAGGGGAAGATGTAGCTCGGACGAGAAATCACATTCAAAGTCTTTTTGAAATGAACTGGTGCTCAGAAGCACCTAAATGGAAATTTCTTGGTTTTCACATTGACGCGAAGGTTCTCTGCATCAATGCAGTCTTTGTCGCGCTCAGTGAGATTTCCTGCGATATATTGTTTCCCAGACCTCATGTCGCCTTTACATATCATTCTTTTTTTAAAGTATTCAGATCTCTACTGTGAATCCTCACACCTCATTTTGTGAGTTTACGCATTTGGTTCACTCATGATGAACACAATCGAGCTCAATAAAGGCGTTTCCGAACAGCCCCACTGTTGCGCGCCCGCTGAAGGATTCTCGTAACACCATTCGCACCTTTCGAATGAGGACAAAATTAGCAGTTCCGTCAATGGGCTTTCTTTCGTAATTCAATCCTGTGTTTAAGACACACATCCTGGGCACTCACCTACTACTGGTACCAGTTATCCAACAAGAATGCTGACAATTAATGGGCAAGTCTTCAGACGCCTGGCGGAATTCGAATGGGTGCACCTTCTTTATGAAAGGAACGCATATTTGCTGGATCCGTACGCGAAAGTGAGCCAGGCATATTGCTATGAAGCTGTTGGCCATATCTCATGACGATTCACGCCATCTTCAGAAAGTTTCTACCAAGTCAGTGTAACGGAATTGCTAAACATCTTCAAAATACCTCGACGAAGATCGCTATTTCGCGTCTTCGCGAGACGTTACAGGTCTCACATATGTGGGGAAACTGAAGAAACCAGCAAGCTAACAAAACGCCCCTGCCCCCTCCCTAAGGGGAACCCCGAGCATTATTGCATTTATTGCAAATGCATTGTATTATATGTGTGACATACTGCCTGATTGCGTGTCACTAGGTGCATCTGTAGAACAGAATGGCTTCTATTAGGCACTGTTCCACAGTCTGCGGTCCAGCGTTTCTCTGGAACGCGGCGGTTCGGCGAAAAGCTTTCGATACGTATCGACTGGCGGTTGGGCGAAAGGGTTTTGATACGAATCGACGAGCGTTTCGCCAAAGCGCGACGTTTTTCGCCTTCGATCTGCTACTAGCCCCCGCTCGAATCGCCGTGGTGTTTTCGCCCCATCGAAACTGTTACACACTACTATTGCTTCTCCTGTATACACACCGCGCCGAGGCCGCGCGAAGGTTTGGCGAAACTAGACGGTGGCGGTTCTCCGACGATGGCCTGTTTTTCTTGCAATTCGCTCTACCCCGCCGTTCCGTCCGGTCGCTGAACTGGGAACAATGCCCTTAACGGCTAGGTTTCAGGGAATACACCTTCCTATTTCACCGCCCTAAGAATTCAGGATTGTGATAAATGAAGAATGCTCGCTGCCACACTCCACTCTGTTTTTCTCATCGGGCCCTGCCCGGATTCTGTGTTACGTTGACTGGAGTCAGTCAGTTGTCAACAAGTTCATTAGCCATCCGTGAAGGATCAGAGATAAGAGCGTTTAGCAATTTGAAGGATTGCTCACTCTGAATCCAGCTGTGGGGGACTCTGGTTTACTCCTCTACTTCACCCTAAAGTAGTTTTAACGGTGATCCCTCTTTGGACATCCGCCCCTGATGCACCTTTTGCTTGTTGAGCCTGTTTAATCACTTTGAGCTGGAACATCTTTGCTAAGACTCTCGGCTTTTGACTGATTTCTGTGCTGTATGAGTGAGGTGTTATTTTGCTAGTTCCATACACCTGAAGTGTGACTTACATGGAACAGAAATCAGGACGGCGGGGAAAACTTTTAGCAACGTAGGCTTAGATGTCATAACCTTCCCTACAGCGAACCGGCCTTTCACCCTGTATCATTCGGTGTGGTCAGAGAAGACGAGGAGATAGCGCAGTTTGTCAGTGAAGGGATGAACAACAGCATCTTTGGCTCCAACGCTTTTCTAGGAATCGATAAGAGGAATTTGATCGCGTTCGCTCGTGACGCGGTGTTCGCAAACAGTGCTGTTCCCGCCATTCCAGTTGAAATCGGGTTCGCAGCAAGCGTTTAGAGGGAGTGGATCCTCGAAAATCCTCGATAAGCATTAGGTGCGATTGAATGATTTGTCTCCGCCAAAATATCGAATCGGGGAAAAGGATTAGGTTGAACAAAAGAGTCTGCAAGGACACGTGCCGATTTCATCCTCCCATACTAATCATGAGGCGGAGATGGTGCCGTAGCGAGTGGCACGCGTACCACTCGCGCGGTCTAGAGTTCAAATTCCTGATCGACGCCCGTCCAGGCCAACCAAGCCTTGTACCCTCTGGGGAGTAGATGGTAACAGATCCTGAACGGAAAAAAAACTGACATGAACTTCACTTGGCTCCCGCAAGCCCTTGCGATCAAAAGAAGGTATGCGCACCGGTCCTTAGATTCGGCATTTCTTGGGTGTGCACTAAAAGGAATAGATACGTATTGACTAATTTCCCCCAGCTAGAGATTTAGCGATCTATTCAGATATCTGTTGAGGTGGTCTAATTACCCGATAGGTGTCTAATATTTTCAGCGTAATTCCACAAAATAGAACCTCCTATTGTCTTGAATGGCAGCGCCTGAATGCGGCCTGGTGCTACTTTCTAGTTTGCGTGTTCTAAGATCTTTCTGATCGACATCCTTTTCATCGAATCCAGACCTTTTTATGAAATTTCTGGGTAAACTCATTTCTGCGGATGGGCGCAACACAGCGCTTCATTGTGAATTGTTCGATTGACTGCATAGTGGTCGAAGTTGTTTGAGAAAGTCAAATATTAGCGTTTCTTGCCATACGCCATAGTTTTCCTTTCAGGTTCTCCTACCCCGTCGTCAGTCACTGTCGATAATCTCCCAAGTCTTCCTGATCCTGTCCAACTCGTTGGTGTTTCAGATCCATTCGGTTTGGGCGAGCTACCCGAAGTCGGTATAACGTCGTTGTTTCAAGCATGCTTGTTTCTAAAAGCGCCATTGCAGGTTCCTGTCCCACCTCCACTATCGAGTCAACGAGAACCCTTCAATACAAGCAACAACTGCGTACCTGATCTTCCCCATCCCACTGATCCCCAAGCTCAACCGCAGTCTTCTTTTTCAGTATGTTCATCTGCGTTTCCTTTCATACCCGCTCTGATTTAACTATATTGTTTTTTTTCTGCCACGATAGTCACAGTATTCCTTTCAAGATCAACAACGAACTATACGCACAGCTTCTTGATCTTGGTTTCGACGACTTTACTGCACGTCTAGCTCTTATTCGCACTGCGAACACCGGTGTTGAAGAGGTACGTTGCTATAACCTTGCCTCCCTTTTTCTAATATTCATTCCGTCTCACACATAATCGATATTCACATTATTGTCGTTATATGGGTGATAGCAGAGCACAAATTTTTTATTTCGGTAGGCCAGCCTTGAAAAATGTCTTGCTTTCGTTTTTTTTTTCGAAAAACGTCGACATCGTAGGAACTACTCCGGAGTGGTTTTTTAAAGTGAAAATTATGCACCACTGCGAGACCCGCCTTGGCCACGCCCACTTGCTTTTTGCGGAATTTTGATATTTTTTCAAAATTTTTGCATTTTTGGACTGCTACGTGAAGCCCCGCCCACTGTGAGAGGCTCCGCTCACTTTGAAGAAGCCCCACTTTCACGCTACTCGGTAGTATATGTCTCGGCTTGCATGCTAGGGTCTCGTTCGTCACTCGGAATAAACTTTGCCTGATTTTCTTGTTCCTCAACTTGTGCATGCATGCAATGAAGAGAAAGCGTGTTTGTACGAATTTCCACTCGTCCTTATCACAACGACCTCACTTTCGTCATTGGAAATGAAGAGAGATAACACAGTGGCTACTAGTAGCTAGTAGCCGGTCGGGGTTCCCATGGGCCTGGAGTGCCTATTGGCCAGCTTCCAACGAAGTTCTTGTCATTTTCACTTTTTGAAGGTAGCACAGCCTCCAGAAGCGCCTTCTGGATCATCTGACACATTTCAGAGGTTATGGCCTTACTTTATCGCGGAAAGTGCCTTGATCGTTCTGTGTTGAGTCTTTCTATGGTCTACCTCGCCTACCAGCTCTCTATTCATTCATTGAATCCTAACTTAGGGTACCTTTATTCCTCTATTTACTCTTTTCTTGACGACAGCATCATCTACGAATTCATACTTTGACCCTAACGCCCCAACTTACAATAGCGGAATGTGCATTCTAATACTAATATCCTTATCTCTACACTGCTCTCCTACTGCTACGATAATTTCAGGCTGTGAATTGGATAATTGAGCGGTCGAATCCGAGTGATTTTGAGGACAACTCATCAAGCAGCGACGGAGGCGAGGACGTAGAAATGGGAGGTCAGTGCATCACTCGTCCCTTTATAAGTCTGGCCTCAGTCGTTTTCTTGTCCAGTTCTACTATGCGAACTGTTCTATTAGGCTTATTTTAAATAAGTTCATTTCAGCAGTCAACTCTACAGGTGGGGATAATAATCAATCTTCCAGTGTTCTCAGTGCATTTCCTCAAGTGTTTTCTCTTAGTAAGTAAATACGTTTACGTTCTTATGCCGTTCGTGTTATTATCGGTCAGGGTTTCCTCGCATGGGAAGGTTTCTTTCGGTTTCTTTCCTTTCTTCCCATACAATGTGATATAACTTCTATCATACATCCTTCTGTGCATACTTTGTCAAGCTGCACATGCACGCCTTCGTGACTTTTATGCTGGTGCCACTAGAAGGCATATCATCACCTCTGCTCTGAACGGATAAATATAGGGCCCTTAGCTCGCATTGGGAATGGTGATGAAGATAAGTCAGGCTATAGTCACCATTGTAGGAAGAAGTTCGAACGATCACGTTTTCTTTTTACTCACTTGGGTGATATTGCATGCTACAGTATCTTCACCTGAATTAACTCTTCTTTGCGCTGGCTATTAAAGGGTCATTTGAAGGACTCCTTGTTTAAAACTAAGTTTGCCGCAATGGAAGGCGTTGATACCTTGTGAAAGTGATGAATTGACAAATGCGAATAATTAACGAATTGCTAACTTGAGAGAGTTGAACTCGAAAAGTTGCCGAATATGGTGAATTGGATCAATTTGTGTACATTCTTCGTCGCCGTACTTCCTTTTTCTCCCAATTCAGCAGACCGCTGATTCATTCTACAATTTTCACTGTCGCAAGGTGTGAAGACAGCTGTAGAGGGGAAAATAGAGGTGGTCATGTTATCCATCCACGATTCGCCTGTGGCTGTTGTTGCATATGAAGCTGAATCAGCATTTGGGCTAAGAGAGATTCCTGTCAAAATAGTGAGGAATGAAAAGAAAGCGAAAATAAATGCTCAATCTTCACTTCTTAACACGTTGACGACATGCGCGTTTTTACTTTTTGGCCGCGTGGGACACGCGCGTTTTCTCGAACGCAACCAGCGCGGTACACACATAGTTCAGACGATCCCACGAGGCGCTTTTTTGGAAATTGGATCGGAAAACTGGATTAGAGCGCAGTTATGAAGTAAGTTAATACTTCAGTATAGAAAAAACCTGGCTGGCTAACTCTCGTTGCACTAGATGCCAGAAATTCGTCCGCAACCAATGTTTTCATAAAAAAAAGGTGTCGTGCCCTCTATAGCGTTCAGAATCCTTCACCCTATAATTTTTACCATTATCAACATTGTATCGATCAGCATTTCTCAGCTAAGTGTTGGAGAGCAAACCATTCCAGTGTTGAAGAGCAAATCAGTCCGAGCAAATGGTGATCTTTACCCAAAAAGTATTTGCTAAACTAGTGTGTACTGAATTATTCCATGGACTACGCATAGTACGAGTACACCAGGGTCTGAACTATACAATGATTAAGAGAAACTAACTAAAAACCATGCACTGTTAAAAGATATGGATTTGTTGATCGTGAGTTGTATAGTATGCACGCTGTCCCACATGGCCTACAACGCGTGCATTCAATGTGTCTCACGCTGTCGTCAATGTGTTAATGGGTTGGATATATAGACTAGTTCTCGATAAAGATAAAGAGACGTGGTAGGTGGCAGGCAGTTTGAGTGTGCCCGCCTCTCTATGTTATTTATTTACGGCGCCAAACCAGTTCTCTTCCAATTGTTGAAGCGGGTATGCGTCAAAAATCGGTGAGAAGATGAGTTATACGAACGATATGATATTGTCACTTACTCGATTCAGCAACTGGTGGAGAACAGGTTTGGCACCGCGCCAAACTCGTTCTGCCTGACATGCCCTCCCTGTGCAGCGAACTAGACAGTAAGTGACCACATACTCGCCGATAAAGCTAACGCTACCAACTTCTTTCATAGAGCGTGATATATATGAAAAAAAAATCTAAAACATGGTAATGCTCCAGAACTCTTTCGGAGGCTATTGAATCCACAAAGCATCAAAACTTTTCTATAAAAACCTTGGAGGTTTTTGGATAGGTTCCTCTCAATAAACTAGTTTCTAATGGAATAGTCATGTCGGGAGAAGTTTACACGGTTTTTTGTTTTCTTACAGTAACAAGTTTATGTAATTTCTGAGGCAATATAGTTGGGCAGTGCACACAACGAAATGTTAGAAGCTCTTCGGAACACTTCTTGGAATGCGCTGGTTTTATTTTCCTTCACAAAAAAACATCTGGAATATAAATCTGTTCAATTTTGGAAGTGAACTTCAATGTATTTTGACCTGACCACCAGTTTGATAAGTGCAAATAAACCTTTGAACATTTCTTGGTAAGGCTTTCCATCAGCATTCAGTGTAGTGTGCGTCTCACTCGATTCCGTTCGTTTGAAACTTCAGAGCAAGGTCGATACTTCTTTCAAGCATTTGCGTACTTGTCTATTTGTGTGGGCTAGAGGGTCTAGCTCTGGAATTCCAGGAGCGGTATTGCGCACAAACAAGCACTTCAGACTAGCTGATGCGGTAGAGCTCGACTTTGACGTAAAATCCATTGTACATGGTATCCTATGCCCTATATTGTTTATTTCGAACGTCGTTTCAGAAAAAAACCAACAGCCGATAGAATACGTCCTTTCTCTAAAAGTTTTGAGGATCGCCATCGAATCACATTGACTAATCAATTATTTGTTTGAATTACACAAGGCATCCGATCATTCAGTGATCCTCGAGACAAGGATGTAGGCCGCCATGACTACTGATTAGAAACCATAATTGTGCCTGTCGAGTGAACTCTAGGAATTGTGGTTTGCGTGAAGTGCCGCGTCTCGCTTACCCTACACTGCACCTCATTGGTTCAGGCTTTAATAAATTCTCTGTGGATACTTCGAGTTTCTGCCGTGGCAACTGATATGTACCTCATTCCTTTCTAAGAGTCGTTGTTTTGACTGAAAGTAGCCGACAATTACCCTCTCTCTTAGTCGTTTCATACCTCTCAATTCAGACTCTATTCTGAACTTTAATTACAGGAGGGCGCACCCATAAAATGGTGTTGGTAGCGAATATGAGTCTGAAAATGGGAACTGGAAAACTAGCTGCTCAAGTAGGTCACGCTACTCTCGGAGTATATCGGCAGGTAATGGTTTTTGAAAACATGTACAATTCTTTAGACATTTTCCGGAACTTGAATGTACAGTAGTAGCCATTGATTGCTTTTTCCGCTTCTGCTACAATTGCTTAACAAAATGCGGCGGCGTTTTCCCTCTAAAAGTTTTTGTTCCGTGATGCACATTCAGGCAGTCGTGATTTTGAAACGACTTCCACTTGAATGCTTTGTCAGGATTACTAGCATTTTTAGGCGATGAACTCTGAGGCGGGGCGTGAAGCAATAGAGGCATGGACTCGTCATGGTCAGGTAAAAATCGTTGTTCGCGGCAATAGCACTGAGGAATTAATGGATATGTGCAAGAGTGCGAAAGATGGGGTATGTCATCTAGTAAGCCACTTTTTTCTTCCTCTAATCTTTCTGTAATACTAATTCTATCTAATTTCTTTCTATAATTTCTGTTTTCTTTAATTTTTTTTCTTGCTCTGTGGCATGTATGAAATGAGCTGTTATTTTCACTCTAAGTAGACTTGCTAGATTGCCACAGTTGGCAGGAGAAGTCTGTAAAATTTTGGGTCACATAATCATTCATACTCGGTCTAAGATGGTGGCATGAGTGGTATATATTGGGGAAAATGAAAATGAATGAAGTGAAACAGTCAAAGATGTGCAGGAAAACCCGACTCAGGAAGCTATGTCAGACGCGTTTCTCGTTCACGTCGTGCCAATAACTCCTACGGTAGATGCGGCTGCATGTATGTGCTCACGTGTCCATGCAGCACCGCAGCCGCTTCATATTGTACTTCGCAAATGAAGCGATACGAGCATCAGCATCGGTCGGACATTTGTGGGCGGGCGGGCGCGGTGGGCGTTCGGGTCGGTATGTTGCAGCTTGATAGGGCCTCGGTAAGGGTACCTTCTCGTAAGGAGGCGCCATGCAGCGCCTGCTCAGGGGCGCCGAACTCTGTCCTGCTACTTGTATTAATCCTACACTTCTTGGGGATTTATCGTGTCATTGCCTTTAAATGACTGAGCCTAGAGGAATCGCGGAATGGGGTGGGATTTTGCTAATGGTGCGAGGTATATGGAAGGCACCATCTGTACTTCTCCAATCAATTCATTGATTAGGAGTTAAAGCATCAAAATTTGAAGTACGAGGTTGCGTATCATTTACTAAAACGTGTTGCTGGGATACCTCAGAATAGGTTATATCTAAACATTTGTTACATTACGAAACCTAATGCGTGGCTTCAGAACTGTTTGAAACGCGATTTTGTGGCTTGTTCCAAGCCTTTATCCGCAGCTGTATTAGCAGAAAGGGGACATAAATGCGATAAAGTAATAGTACAATCAAGAAGGAAGCCGTGCCTCCAAATTATGAGAAGCCCGCTCCCATGTCAATTGGCTACTTTGGTATGTGGCAGGGGAGCGGGAGATTCTCTGATGTGTCATCTAGTTGACAAGTCTGCATCTTATCTTTCCTTGACTTCCGTGTGTGTTGTTCTGGGCACAACGTGTATTTGGGTAACTTATTGCCTGAAGTCAACAAAGAACCGAAAACCGCTGGCGGTACTGTTATTTCACGACAAACATGCGATCGGTGAATTCACGCCTTCTTCAGGGTTGTTTCTGCTATTTGGTACAAGACGCCGGTTACACGCAAATACCACCTGGTTCACGAACAGTTTTGGGGATCTTCGGCACAGTAGAGCAAGTGGACGCAGTCACTGGTGGTCTGAAACTTCTGTAGCAGCATGGTAGCCATACCTCTATATGTTCACACTTGCTGGTACGCGGTCGAAAGATTTCATTTCACACCGATTTCTTCGTTCTGTTCTGCCGGTATTCTCACTCCTCACCTCTCAAGGTCTAGTGCCGAATAATGCTAGGCTAGTACGCTAATGAAGTGATAGTTCATCAGTAGCTTGAATTCTACAATCATTGTGTCCGTCTTACGTACCATGTGTAGTTTACTCAATACTATAAGTACACCAAATGCTATGTGTATGTGAGGAGTCGCGGTGCATTTGCTGCACGTTGTTCTGTTTTTTCTTGATAAGTATGCATGTCAATACTTCTCTTTGATATGTTTTCAATAAAAAAAATTGTTACGTAAAAGACGAATTATCCCCGTAACAGATATTTCATTGATAAAATTTTTTCAGAACAGTAGCTACATGCATGCTTTTGTATTAGCCTGTATTTGGTGTAATTAAAAACAGAAAAAAAAACAAAATAATGGAAAAGGGAAACACTTTAATGCTCAGGTGGGCCTTTTCGCTTGCTACCTCAGACGAACCATCACCTTGACTGGAGACTGTGCATTAAGTCTGAAGCCTGAATTCCCAGACTCCAGTCAAGGGACATCATGGCGCCGTGGCGAATTTTGCCGAAGTGACCATTCCCCATTCTATATTTCGCCCTTTTCGCAACGAACAATGCCGCTCGTGATTTGTGGGGAATTGGCGGTCTAATCCGCCGTAGAACTGCAGACTCTCTGAAGCGATGAAAAATCATGTATATCAATAGACTCGCTTCTCTGTGGCGACTTCAACGATGTATAATCCGTTAAATTTTGGTAAGCTGGTCATCAGCATCTTCCTGAAAATAGGTGAGAATTTCATTTTTTAAAATTAACTCCGAAAGCGAAAACGATCTTTTGGATCTCACTTCTTTCGGGCTTATTCACGTCATCGCCCATTTTTTGAATCTTTAGCGGCATATGCGGCTGGGAATTCAAGAACAATAGACGACGAACACAGCTTCATGTTATTTCTAACTTTGAGCGTGCATGAAACTGGTAATGTGGCTGCGAAATAGCTGAAGAACTGTTCTTCAGTTTGGTGAAACATGGTTGAAGGCTAAGCCCTGCATTCAAATTTGATGAGTTAATGCGGCGTATTCAGTATTAGTACCTTGTTAAAAGTATTTGAGCAGCCAAATACTTTTAACAAGGTAGCAAGTAACCCCTAGAAGAAAAATCAGAAAGAAATCATAGGAAAGGCTCTATATAGAACCCCTTGCTTAATTGAGGTTGTACGTGCTCAAGGCGAAGAGAAGGTGCGATTGCACGAGTTCTCACTTGTTGATACCAGCTGTTTTCCCTCATCACCACACTCACCATTCGATGTGGAGAGAAGCAGCAGCGAAACAACCGCACCATCAGGTAACCATTAGAAATGAATGGAGGGCGGTGCCAATGATTGTAGGTTGGGCCAATGAGAAGAACGACGGCATCGTGGGCCTCCTCACTCGTTTTTGCGCCGCGAAAAGAGGTTGTTGTGGTTGTTGCCTCTGCGGGCCTGACTACCTGCTCGCGAAGGGAGAGAAAAATCTTAACTGAACCCGAACGCTGCCTTCAAGTCGTATGATGCATTACAGACAAATGGTTCTTCCGCAGGATGGCCCTAATTATCCGTGTTTGTAGTCTGATATAATAATCGCATTTCTTCCATTTTCAAGTTGGGCACATCATTAAGCAAGCACAATGTTACCATATAATCGAGAACGGATTATTCAACATCAGTCATTTACTTGCTACAATAAATCTTGGTGCTTGTTACAATAAATCCTGTAGTTAGTTGACTTCCCCAGGGTATTGGCCGAATTCATGGATGCCTACTGGACCTACTCAGTTGGATTCTGCAAGAAAAATGTTATCTAACGATGTAAAAAGCATGTCATTTCGACAAATTCAGTCATTAACCGCCTACCCTTCTTGGGTGCTAGAAAGGGCGTTCAGTCTCTCCCCTCACTTGCTTGAACTAAAACTGCGAATTCTTGTAGAGAAGTTCACACCATTAAACTCAGCTCGTCGAGCTCAACATGGTACTGATTTCAGATCATGGAGATATCTGAATTTGAGAGCCATATGCTATCAATGTGCCGAAGGGGACTAATTAGCAAAGCGCCCCCTCACCATTACAATAGCGATTATTCAGTAGGGCGCAAATGGCTCACAGAAGCAATGCGGCTGCGGACTTACACCGTATTCGACGCGCTTTACCTCAAAGCGCCAGTTTCCGTTCATAATCAAGTAGGAAGCGACGTGAAGGAACGGCTTATTGAAGTACATGAAGTTAGCCTTCAACCAGGAAAAGACCCGTATAACTGGAGTTTTCATATAATTATACAGATCTCATAGTCAACATGGTGAACGGAAGGATTAATAAATACTAAATTGTACAAAAACAGATGACTCTAGCTTTGAGGTAGTCAGATTTTTGCATAGTAGTACAAACATTTCCCTTATTAATAAATTTCTATATCTGTTCGATCATTGATATTCGAAAGCAAAATAACGGATATGTCACAACACCATTTGGGAAAAGGTTTACAAATGGAGACTTATTCTAAGGCAGTTAAATGTCTTTACAAAAACAAATTCTAGTATTTACAAAGATGCCTCGAAGTAGTAAAACCGCGCTTAATGTCAGCTGGTACACCCTGCTAGTTGAGACTAACTCCTCGTTTGATACACTCCTCCCATTCGCTTATACATACTAATAGTCCTTCAGATGGCTTTGTAAGCTTCCAAGTATACGATCTTTCATATGACACGCCTCCGTGCTTGTAAACACGCCATCTGCTATATATCTTCATTCAGCAACTCAGCGTTGTCCTTTGCCTTTCAACCCATATCCTTATATTGCTAAGTTTTTGCATGAGCGTCTCGATTAGTACCCCTACTACTCTCCATTTCATCTTTTTCGTCAACTCCTTCCCGTATAAGTCATTGTCCTTTTGTCGTCAACCCAAGAGCTTCGGGTTGTCGAAACAACAGTTAGGTAGTTCGTCTGATAAACAAAGCGAAATGGATAAAATGTGTTTCTTGGAGCTTTTTTCTCCAACCAAAATATTTGTTTTTTTCTTTGCTTTTAAATTGATATGGTTTCGGCCAGGTCATTCTTAGTGTTTGACGTTTCATTTGAATTGATTTTGAATTGCTAAATACCTTTGGAAAGGTGGAAGTTGGTTCAATTTACTTCCTCAGTTCATCCCTCATTTAATTCCTTTTACCCGAATCGTCACATTGAGTTTAACGAAAGACGAGCCCCAAAAAATTTTTATTTCATACCGCTCCTATCATGGTGAGAAGAACGAAGACCAAGGACCCTCATTAACAAAAGACTAATAACCGTTTAGGCGTGCCATGAAGCAAGGGATACGTTTGAAGGATTCTTCGTGTAGCTAGTAAACACCTGGATCACAAACTGAAACCTGACGATTAAATGGACCAACTTCACCTTTTCAGAGTATTTTTGCATTAAAAATCATCAAAAGGAACTTATACACTAAAGATGACCAAAGGAGAGTCATACAAGACTGCCTTCTTGAGGTAAAGCGCGTCGAAAATGGTGTAAGTCCGCAGCCGCACTACGTATTGCTTCTGTGAGCCATTTGCGCCCTACTGAAAAATCGTTATTGTCTGCATCCATATTACCAGCGTGGAGGTCTGCTCTACTAACAATAAGGACACTCACAATTAGTACATTGCAGAGGTAATATTCTGTATTGCCAAAATCTCACCCAACTTTTTAGACCGTGCAATTAATAACCTGATCACGCTAAGCCGCGAGCCCTGCCCCGACGGCCACGCATACTTGTCAGCATAAATTTTCTTCTATGACTGCTTTATGCTTCTATGACTTTTTGTCTTCTGCTGTTTCGCACACACTGACTGAAAAAAAACTGGACATCGATGCATGGCACTCTGCTTCACAAGAAGCTAAATTCAGTATTACCGCCACGTAACTTCCAAAACCAACCGTAACCCGGCCAGGCGGGGGGGGGGGCGCACCTTTAAATTGGAAGTCTGTCGAAGGCGCGTTAAAAACATCAGCACGGACGCTGAAACTACGCCGGTATTTCATTTTTGTGGGGGAAGAAAAAGGATGTGCGTTCCGGATGTAGTTGTGAGCATTTCGATGAGAGGATGGGCCTGATCTATCTTTGTATTACCATTGCTTCAAGCACTTTGACGGTGCTGCACGCTTGATGCTAACCAATGTGGGATAGAGACGGCTTTCCAAGGTCGCTTTAGTAAACAATACATTGATGTGGTACTACTGTCGATTTATTAGCCTCATCGCCTCGAAAGGTGGAATAGGTGGTACTTGCATGCAGTTGGTCGCGTCCATAACTACGACTTTTCAAACCTGGAATGGAATAAATTTTTTACCTCAAAACATAGTTGCAAACTGTGAAATCGTCCTCAGAAGTAGAACAAACACTTTGGAAACTAGAGATCCAAAGTTGGGACAGGAACTGCGGGGCACATTTCTGTGTAACACCGCCAAGATGTGACGGTAAATTATATTAGAAATTTTCATCACAAACCTTGCACTTGTAAAAGAATTTTCTAAGTAAGGTAATTTGGCTCTTTATATTCATGTATTTATTCTCCAAATCCAAATACTTAGAAAGAAGCGTTGCCAGCGGTATAAATTCCCTCCATATGCCAAACATTCAGAGCCTCCCTATCGAGACAAAAGAATTCATAGCGAAATGTGTACTAAATTCCCGTCCACACTTGAACACTGCAGTATTTGAAGCATTTCCGCACAATTCCCGTAGTGGTACCGGCGTAAAGTTCGGTGTTATACGTACGTCCACTGCGGAGTTACAATCAACTGGGCGCCGCTTTGGGTTACGGTACCGTGGCGGTAATACTGAATTTAGCTTCTTGTCTCTGCCTGCTCATTATTCTCCTTTATGACTTCCATAGCAGACCCATTGCTTTGGTTCGTA